GCAGATGGATACTACAGTATTGGAGACCAAGATTTGAAGTTTTACATCTGAGCAGCACTTTCTGGTTAGGAACAAAATCATCAATGAGAAATAATTGTCTAAATAACTTTTTTTTTTGTCTTTTTGAGACAGGGTCTCCCTGTAGCCCCAGCTGTCCTGGAACTCACTATGTAGACCAGGCTGGCCTTGAACTCGCAGAGATCTGCCTGCCTCTGCCTCCCAAGTGCTGGGACTTCAGGCGTGCACCACCACACCCGGCCTTAAATAACTTTTTATATGGACTTAAGCCCAGTGTCTGGGAAGTGTAATCCCTTGAACTTTTAAAGAAATATACTGATGACTTTACTCTTTGGTTATACTTTCCTTTTGGGTGTTTAAGACCATACAGTTGGCCCAAATAAATCAATTTATTTTTATACTTAAGGTCATTTGAGGATCTGTTCCTCAGGGGTCACATGGACTTGGGAGGAGCCCCTGGATCCTTTCTTTACCAGTTCCATCTATGTGAAGATAAGTCAAAGGTCCTGCTCGACCATGTCTGGTATCATTTGGAAGTATGGATGAGATGTTTCCTCTGAGTTGACCCTCTTTGTAGATGGGACACTGGTTCATTAAGTTCATTTTTTTAGTATGTACTTTAGTACTTCCGATTTTCAAAAGGAAATGGGTGCCAGGGATCAAGCTTAGGTCCAGCAGTAAGCACTTTACTGACTAAGCCATCTCCCTAGCCCCCAATAAGTTTCTGGCATATCCAGGACCAGTCCTTCAAACTAGCAGCATACTCTGTGTGTGCAAAGTTTCATCTCCTGCCTTATTCTCCAAAGGTTTCATGGCTTCTTCATGCTTTTGTTCTCAGGAAGACCCAGCAAACACATCGTGGGCACAATGCAAGGCGGAGACTCTGACGAAGTTGTGAGTCCCGACATCTCCCCTTGGCACTCCTGCACCTTCTGGCTTGGGACTGTCCTCGTAGACTAGAGCTTGGCCTCCTAAGGGCTGGCTGTTTTCTTTACTTGCCAGTAGCTCATTTCTCATTTCATGAGTGTGCTCCCCCTTTTGTTTGCCTTCTCAACTGTTCTTTCCATTCTCACTTTCCAAAGACAGCACCATCTGTCTTAGGTAAATGCAAGACTCCCAGCTCCAGGAAGCAGGTTGGTTTTCTTTTTCACCTCATCTGTTTGTTGGTGTTTGTCAGCCTGCTAAGGGCCAGCAGAGCCTCTTCCCCAGGGTGATGTCTCCTCTCTTGGGTAAGAAGCCCTTGGAATAAATCCTCCAGTGAGAGATGGAATGTTCTCCTGGGGCCTTGTGCTAAGGAGGGTTGAACACTAAGGCCAAAGATGAGAACGGTTTGGGGGTGTCATCAGGCCCTGAATTGTAAACCAGAAATGAAAAGTTGATGCTGAGGGCCATAGCCCATCCCCAGCCTCTCTTCAGCTCCATTCTGCAATTCTGGAGCAGGAACATGGAAAAGATGATCCCCTAGACCAAGGCCTCAGAGACGCTGGACAGGAAACTGAGGTCAGGCACCTCTAGTGCCTTGAACCCTTTAAAGTCAATGACTGACTAGAGAACTTAACCAGAAAGGGGAAGTCTGGGGTTCTCAAATAGCAGGCTGAGGACACACTCCTCAACATGCTGAGCCTTTGTCCTATTGCGATTCCTCACAGGACTATTTGGCCCATGTGGCAAAGGTTATTGGACTGACCCAATCCCAGGTCAGTTCTGTAAGGGACTGCCTTATCTCTGAGTGTGGCATTGGTACCTGCACAGGGACATATCAGGGTCCCTGAATGTTCTTAGAGAAAGCTTGACTAAGTACCATTGTGCAGTATTGCTGAAATTCACAGGATGAACTGGCACCTAGTCTTGCTGGGCAGGCTGCAGAGTATATATATTGAATTCCTAGGGCACAGTCTATAGAGAAGCAAGGAACTCACCTTGATAGTAACATTTTTGTTTTTAACAAATAGGATATGGATGATGAAGTAGCTCGCATCCTGTCTTAAGTCTGGAACAGGAAGGGTCTGGCCTGGAACCAGTGGTGCCTGGAAAGTAGTTTCTCCCCTCCTGCATTTGCTTACATGTTTTTCAGAATCACTGTATCAGCTATGCTCAGGTCTTCCCATGCCTTACTGCTTGTTTATTTCATGGATGTGATTACAATGCTTAGAGAGAGAGAGTAGGAAGAGAAGGGACAAGGCCTCCAGTCCTAAGCTTTCCCTGCATTGAAGAGGTCAAAGAGACAAAAAGGATCAGGCAAAGGAGATCAAGCAGGCAGTGTAGAGAACTGGGGTAGAGGCCAGACTAGAGTGGATGACTTAGAAGATGGAAAGGTGGATTTCAGGGAAGAAATGATGGTTCAGCAACAGATGAAGGGTCAGATAAAGGAAGAACTGTGGATCCCGTTGAATTGGAATCCTTTTAGTTTTGGTAAGAGTGGTTTGGGTGTTATAGAGTGAGAGCCTGATTGGTATACTTGGGCAGCAGGAGGGACACACATGGGGACACTGAGTCCAACAACTTGTCCAGGGAATTATTTCTTTTTTTATGAAACAAGGTCTTTGTAGCCCAGACTGTGGCTCTTCCTGCCTCAGCCTCCAGAGCACTTGCACCATCATAGTCCTGGCTTGTAGTTCTGCTGGGAAGGAAGCAGACAAAGCAGGGTAGCTGGAGGTGGGGGCTTTTTAGAGATGGAAATTCCAGCATGTGTGTACTGTTGGGAATGGTCTAGATTGGGTGACCATCTTGGAATATGTGAGATACAGAACTTGCTATTTAAAGTCAGCCGGAATTGGTCTCCCTGGACCCAGAGTTGAAGGAGTTGGGGCATCCTTCACCTTGCTCTCTTACCCACATCTGTGTTGCTTTTCATCCTCATCTGGAATAGACCTTCCCTCCCTTCAGGCCCCTGCCCTCCTTGCTGTCTACCTGGCCATTGGTCTTAGACTCCAGGAGTCATGCAGTTCCCAGGTTCCTCAGTATGTATTAAGGGGATTTCCAAGACGTCAATACAAAAGCTAACCCCTGCTTGCCAAGCCTAGGTAAAGACTGGTATTTGAGTTACCAGTTAGATCCTCAGTCTCAGGAAGACTGACAATATGTGCTGTGCCCCACACCTTTCACTATGGGGTGTTCTGGTTATTGTATTCTCACTCCTTGAGCTACAGTAGAGGATGAAGCAGGGTCTCTTATGGGCAAGATGTCAAGGCAAGACAACACCTCAGCTACATTTGCCATCTTTTTCCTTTAGGAAGACTCGGAGGACAGTGAAATTGACGTGGAAGATGATGAAGAAGATGACGATTTGGAAGATGAAAGCATTGCTCTCTCACCAGCTAAGCCAAATCGTAGGGTCCGGAAACCAGAGCCCCTGGATGAGAGTGACAATGACTTCTGACCTCTTGCCAAGGAACCCAGGCAGAGTAAGAACCTCAGATTTGTAGGTAAACAGGGAGTCCACAGGCTGGGAAAGTAGCAGATTCTGTTCACTGTGACAGCTAGACCCACTGAAGCAAACTTCCTTCTGTGTACCTTCCTGCATCTGTATTCTACAAAGCCCAAATAAGAACTTTAACAAACCCCAGTGGTGATTTTTCTCTTTTTCGGTCTTATTTCCTAACACTTGGGAAATGCATGTGTTGTTCTTAATTAAAATCCACAAGACAAAACCTTGAGGAGAAGTATAAACTGACACTATGTAAGTTTTGGCTACTGTTGTTATTACCATTTCCTCTAAGGGTTGAGCAGATCATGTAGTTGGAATGTGGCACAGGACTTGGCACAGGAATTACAGAGAAACATCACTTGTACGTTCTGGAATGTTATTGTACACTGGCTTTTAATTCTCGCCTTTATTCCATTTTATAGTATTATTTTCTTTCTTTTGCATCCTCACAATACAAAGCATTAGATATATTTTAGTAACTAAACTTTTCTGAAGGAGTAAATAAATTATGTAAAAACCAGCTTTCCTTGAAGATGAGGCCAAGAAAGGCTCCAGATTATGAAAGTTTAATTTTCCTCTCGAGAGCTGGTGTTCCTCTGCAGAGGAGGTAGATTCACCTGGGATTAAAGCCTTTTTCACATTTCCCAGCCTGGGCTGCTCAGTAACTGCTACCTAAGCCAGCCCCTCAGCAAGTGCAACTCCATTTCCTCCAATGTGACAGCTGCACTCTCTTCTTCCTGCCAGCAGGCATTTCTCTGTGTATGTGCATTTCTCTGTGTTGAGTGTACATTTCATGTGTGTGCAGATGCGCATATGTGCACAGCAAAGGAAAATCCCCCATGGTTGTTCTTCAGTGATTGTCCACTTCTTCTGGGGCCAGAGGAGACAGGGTCTCTCACTGAGACCTGAGGTTCACTGATTATGCTAGGCTGGCTGGCCAGGAGCTCCAAGGATCTGCCTGTCTCCACTTTCACAGGGTGAGGATTATAAGCACACACCACCATGCCTGGCTGGATCCTCAGGTGTTTTTTTGTTTTGTTTTGTTTCATTTTTTACTGATGGTTGCCATCAAGTACAAAGTCCACAGGGCTGGAACAATGGCACAGAGGTTAAGATTACTTGCTTCTTTCACAGAGAACCAGAGTTCAGTTCCCAGTACCCACATTAGGTGGATCACAACCTCTTGTAACTCTAGCTCTTCTGTCCTCTATGGCACCTGCATACATGTCTACGTAGACACATGCAGACTAACACACATGTATACATAAATATAAAATATATATATATATATTTTAAAGTTCAAAGACTAACAATGGGCTATCTGTCCGAGCCAAGAAGAAAACAAAATCTCTTTTTTCCAATTTTTTTTTGGGGGGGGGAGCATCAAATTATCTTATTCAGAGGCTGGAGGGTGGGGAAAAACTGAAGAGGTCCATGAAACTTAATGTTGCTGCTAAGGCAGATAGATCTTCCTGGCCTCCTTGTTGCTAACTTTTCCATTTTTTGAGACAGGGTCTCACTCTGTAGTCTAGAACTCACCATGTAGCCCAAGAATCCTGACCATGTATCAGCAATGGCACTTTGCGGTTGAGCAATAGCATGTTTAATTTGGAGACATAGTTTTCCAAGGGTGTGAATGTGTAATACTGAAAAAAGAGCAGTTGAGGCTGGATAGATGGCTCAGGAGTTAAGAGCACTGACTGCTCTTTGCAGAGGACCTGGGTTTGGTTCCCAGCACCTACGTGATGGCTAACAGCTGTTTGTGACTCCAGTTCCAGAGGATCCAATGCCCTCTTCTGACCTCTGTGGGCATGGGTACACTGACATACATGCAGGCAATATACTCATACACACATAAAATAAAAAGAATAAAATATTTTTTAAAGAAAGAAAAGAGAAAGCTGGGCATGGTGGCACAGGCCTTTAATCCCAGCACTGGGGAGGCAGTGGCAGGTAGATCTCTGTGAGTTCAAGGCTAGCCTGGTCTACATAATGAGTTCCACGTCAGAAAAGAAGGAAGGGAGGAAGGGAAGGGAAGGAGGGAGGGAGGGAGGGAGGAAGGAAGGAAAAGCAGTTATAATTTAGAAATTTCAATACTGGTAATACTGGTAGGTGGAATGTAATTATCCCAGCACTCAGGAGGCCAAGGCAAGGTTGGAAAGTTCAGGAGGATCAGGACCCTGTCTTAAGAAATAAATAAGTAAATAATAAAAAGTAGCAATTTCAGGAACCCACATTGACACATGGAGTCTATTTGGCCTTAGCCATGAATAATTTTGCTGTAAATGTACTTCCTGATGACTGTCTCTTCACTAAATATTTATTGAGCACTTAAATTTTTCAGCTGTTGCACTAACAGTAGTTTAGAGATAAGTCTTAGCATTTTCGTGCAAGCTGCATGCACTGTCAGGGGTATTACAGTCATGGAAACACAGAGTAAGGAGCAGCTATCTTCTGGAGGAGCTGAAAAAGATGTCTATAAAAGCCAGATTAGACTGGACCTTCTGGGGTATTTTGTTTGGTTGGTTGGTTATCTGTTTTGCAGTACTGGGGATATAACTCAGTGTCACTGTGCTAGGTTAAATGCTGTACCACTGATCCACATCCCTGTCCCAACCCTGGATTCAGCAAATCAAGAGCCCTTCACACAAGGTCAAGCCAGCCCAAACTCCCACATAGATGGGGGACATAATCTCCAGGGGCCATCCCTAACTGAGGCACTGTTGACAGTTGATAGCTGCTGAGGAAGGGAAAATCATTTTTTGAGGGTGTTGTCACTGGTAGGTTTCCCATGCTCCAGTAGATAGTCCCACCCCCGTGCATATATGGGCAGCACTAGATTTAGTGAGTTGTCAAAAAAGACATGAAGTTAGGAGGAGGTGGTATTGGGAGAATGGAGGGAATGGGAGGAGGGAAATGGAGGGTGTATATGCTTATATTTCATTGCATACATGTGTGAAATTTTTTTTAAGACAGCCTAAAAAAGAGCCCATCAGTGAGATCAGGTGGAACATCATAGCGGGCCTGAATTGCAAAGGCACAGAGCTGTCAAGAGGGCACAGCCTGTTTGAAAAATGATAAGCAGCCGGGCGTGGTGGTGCATGCCTTTAATCCCAGCACTCAGGAGGCAGAGGCAGGCAGGTCTCTGTGAGTTCAAGGCCAGCCTGGTCTACATAGTGAGTTCCAGGACAGCTGGGGCTACAGGGAGACCCTGTCTCAAAAAGACCCCCCCCCCAAAAAAGAAATGACAAGCAGCACAGTAAGGGGGCTCAGGAGATGGCTCAGCAGTTAAAAGCACTGGCTGTTCTTGCAGAGGATTCAGGTTCTGTTCCCAACCCACATGGCAACTAACAACTATCCATAACTCCAGTTCCAGGGGATCTGACACCCTCTTCTGATCTCCATGGGCATTGCATGATATGATGCACTTGCATACAAGCAGGCAGTACACATACACATAAAACAAAAAAAAAATTTTAAAGAAAGCACAGTTTAAAATGTTGGGTATATAATAAGGGAGCAACAAAATGAACTTCAGTATTTGCTGAGGAATTGGTTGATTGCTCTGTGAATAGGTAACATCCTCAAGAGATGAGGATGTCTTTTTAAAAACTCACTCTGGGGCTGGAGAGATGGCTCAGCACTTAAGAACACTGACTGTTCTTTCAGAAGACCCGGGTTCAAATCCCAGCACCCATGTGGCAGCTAACAACTGTAACTCCAGTCCCAGGGGATCCGACCATGGGCATTGCACTACACAGGTGCACTTACCTACATGCAGGTAATACATGCATACACATAAAATAAAAATAATAAAATTTAAAAAGAAAAAACCCTCACTCTGGCAAGGATTGGGGAGGGAAGATAGGGAAGCAGTGGGCTGGTTAGGTAGTTGCTTTGTATTGCAGAAAAGCTCAGGTGGTAGCCTTAAGAGCTGGATTCACTTTCTGAAGAGGTGTTGGGAGAATAGATCGGCTTTGGGGACTGCTCATGTGAGAAAGGCAGGTTGAAAAGGAGAAACTGGGGCTGGAGAGATGGGTCAGCAGTTAAGAGCACTGCCTGCTCTTGCAGAGGACCTGGGTTCAATTCTCAGCACCCACATGGTGGCTAACAACTGTCCATAACTTCAGTTCCAGGGGATCCAACACCCTCTTATGGCCTCCATGGGCATTGCAAATACTGGTGCACTTACACACATGAAGGCAAAACACACACTTGAAATAAAAATGAGGGGCTGGAAAGATGACTCAGTGGTTAAGAGGACCTGGGTTCAATTCCCAGTACCCACTGGTGGCTAACAACCATCCATAACTCTAGTTACAGAGGATCCAACACCCTCTTCTAACCTCCACAGGGATTGCACAACACAGGTGCACATGCACACATACAGGCAATACACTCACACATAAAATAAAAATAATAAATATCCTCAGCTCCGAAAAATAAAAATAAAATAAATAAAAATAATTTTTAAAAGAACAGGAGAAATCGCAGGAGACTGGGGAGTCCTATTTTGGGCATTTGTTAACTGAAGATCCACCAGAAAGCATTATGTGGGGTGGGGGACTAGCAAGTGAGGGAGGGTGTTTGGGAACATCGAGATGACTGTCAGACATTTGAGTCATGGCTAATAATTACTTGGAAATACACAAACTTAAGCTTCCAGTTAAACCTGTGGCCAGAATACATTAGTTTATCTCTCTGAAATCCACCAAAATGAGAGGTGGGGGAGGGGAGACAAACAGGAGAGGATGAGGAAAATGGGGAGGAGGAGAAAGAACATTGCAAAGGCAGTAAATCCATGAGGTTACCAAGAACCAGGGCAGACACCAGAGCGAATGACAACAGTTGTTTAGGGACAGGAGAAACAGATTGGCAGCATTAAAGCTGGGGAAGCTGATACCCAGGCATCATTCCAAACAGAACTCCCAGAGATTTCTTTTTTAAGTCTGAGATGAAACCTAGGAAGACACACTTAACAGCAGAGGGTGTGCTATAGAAAACACAGAAGACCACAATAGGAACTGTTCAAAATCGAAAACAAAAAAATGTGAAGAAAACCAAAGCACCGTTGCAGTTACTGATTTATTGCCTCAGTTCCAATTCACCTTTTCAGCCTGCTTTGTAGCAATGCAGCTAGACCTTGTAAACAGTTACCCCTTGCTAACAGTATGTTGTGAAGCCCTGTTAGTGGAATCTATAGAGATTGAGTCAAAGAAGGGACCTTCTTCCAGCTCTAGCGGTGCTTGCTCTCAGTATCCCTGGAGAGTACCCCATTTCTTTATAGTTTTTGCCCTTCAGACTTCAGTGCCCTTCGACAGGACGCAACTCTCCCAAGTACTTGTCTACTGACTGAATGACCATGACCCAGGTCCTGGCCCCTGAGCTTTCAGTTCAGCCAGAAACAATGCACACCAGAGGAGGAGCAATATTTGTCAGTGTTGGGGATCAAACTCAGGACCCATACTAGGCAAGCACTCTACCACTGAGCTATGTTCCCAACCTAAGAGCAACATCACAAATTCACAAATGTGCTGAAAGACTGTCAACAGAATTCTACATCCAGCAAAACAGTCATGAAGAGACCTTCAATTTCCAAGTAATGTTTTATCTAAATATTTAATTTTTTTTTTGTCTTTTTGAAACAGGGTCTCCTTGTAGCCCCAGCTGTCCTGGAACTCACTATGTAGGCTGGCCTCAAACTCACAAAGATCTGCCTGCCTCTGCCTCCCAAGTGCTGGGATTAAAGGCGTGCACCAACAAGCCTGGCTTAATATTTGTTATTTTTATTTTATGTGTATGAGTGTATTGCCTGCATGTAGGTAAGTGCACCTGTGTCATGCAATGCCCGCAGAGGTCAGAAAAGGCTGTCGGATCCTCTGGGACTGGAGTTATGGACAGTTGTTAGCTGCCATGTGGGTGCTGTGATTCGAACCCGGGTCTTCTGCAAGAACAACCAGTGTTCTTAACTGCTGAGCCATCTCTCCAACCTCCCAAGTAATGTTTTTTTGTTTTGTTTTGTTTTGTTTGTCTTTTTGAGACAGGGTCTCCCTGTAACCCCAGCTGTCCTGGAACTTGCTATGTAGACCAAGCTGGCCTTGAACTCACAAAGATCTGCGTGCCTTCACCTCCCAAGTGCTGGGATTATAGGCATGTGCCACCACGCCCAGCCCAAGTAATGTTCTTTATAGATGAGGTTTTTTTCATTCAGGCTGAGATCCAAAGATCTTGCATTTCATTTAACACAATCTCCAGACTTCTGAATATTGTAACATTTTTCTGGAGTCAGGCCAGTTTTGTAGGATGTCCTACCATTTGGATTTTTTGTCATTGTTACCTCCACAATTAGGTTCAGGTAAACATTTTTGGCAGGAATACTGTATCAGTGCTGTGTCTTTAGGTCTGCGTATCAGGGGTACGTGAGGTTCATTTGTTCTATGTCTGTGAGATTAAATTCAATCACTTTATTTTCTTTGGGTTTTTTGAGATAGGGTCTGATGCAGCCCACACTGCTGAGTCCTGAACTCACTACATAGCCAAGGATAACCTTGAACTCCTAATACTCTTGACTCTACCTTCCAAGTGCTGGGATTACAGGTGCATACCACTATACCTGGCTTATGTTTAACCACTTTTATTAAGGTAGCATTTGTCATTTTAGTGGCTAAGGCACCTCTATGTAAATAGGCATCACCTTTCAATATCAGACTGTATGATGACTAGTCTGGATACTCATTTTTATGTTTTCATTTTTGTTTTGAGAAAAACAAAAATGTAGTCTAAGCTAGCCTCAAACTCATGGCCCTCCTTCCTCAGCCTCCCAAGTACTAGAATTACAAGCCACCATTGTCTGGCTTCTGGATATTCTTTTTTTTTTTTTTGGTCTTTTTGAGACAAGGTCTCCCTGTAGCCCCAGCTGGCCTGGAACTCACTATGTAGACCAGGCTGGCCTCAAACTCACAGAGATCAGCCTGCTCAAATTATAAATGGCAGTCACTTTTATGGTCTTTATAAGCATTTATCTTCATGATTCAGTTGAGAGCTATGATGTTCATTTGGGTTTTTCCATTTCATTCCAGACAGCTGAGGGAGTTTGCCATGTGGAAGCACAGCTTGTTTGTCTCCATTGGGAAGCCATAGCCACCAGAGAAGTTTTGGAACCCTAATGCAGGATAACAGCATTAAAGTATCAATAGTCACTGTGCTATGGCTAACCAGTATGCCAAACTCCAAATAACACATGGTAATCATCATCCATGTCTGAGGTCTTATAGAAAAGGGCAGAGCCTTTGGAGACTTGTCTCTGACTCTAAAAGCTTAGAATTAACCTTTCATTTATCTTCACAAATTTCTCATATTTTCTCTTCATGTTTCTAAGGATCACACTTGAAAACGTTCTTTTCCTCTTGAAAAAAGAAAACAGGGCTCCATGATCACCAGTTGATGCTCTTAATGGGCTTGAAGACTGCAACTCATTTCAGAGAGAAGGATGATGTTAACCAGCTGAATGTAAAAGGACAGGAACACGTGTGAAGATCTCTGGGCATGAATAAGCCAGGACTAGCTTCCCAATTTGCTGAGCTTTGAGGTTTTGCTCCTGAGTCTCTCTTGGTTAACAGCCCCTTCCTTTCTTTGTGCCATTAAGAGAGTATCCATCTTCTCCCTGACTGACCCTGGGCAGGGAAAGGTACCCATGACCTCCATTGGTGGTGCCCTTCCTTCCTCGCAGGAAACCAACTTATGAACTGGCTCAGAAGCATTTCAGATTACAGAAGACATCCAGAGATATCTGCTCAAAAGCTTCCAGCTGAGTTTCTGCTGGTCCTAATGGGCCACAAGAACTTGTTTTCTTCACATTTCCACAGTGCATGTGGGAGCATGTGTCTTGATAGCCTCTGAGATCATCCTGGCACCAGATTCCCCAATGAGATTTCCCTGGAGACTAAACAGAAGGGTTAGGGCAGGGGGCAGCACCACAGGTGGTCTTCAGGAGAGGGATTGTCACTATAATGAATTTAGGACTCAACCAAGCCTTTGCCCTTCTGGGATCTCTCCTATAGACAAGGTTCTGGCATGCTCCTTCTTGGACCAAGTTTCCCTATAGAGCTGCTGGGGAGTCGTGGTGTCACCTGGCTCCCAGAACTGTGATAAAGGTAGAGCCTGATATGGGAGCAGTTCTGAAGCTTAGAAAGAATAGCTGGGAAGGGGAGATGCCATTGAGTCTACTCACTTGATATGCTGCAGCCCATGGTTCCCAGATAGTGCAGTGGCCACACATATGGCTCCCTCCATTCCCAGTGAATTCTCTTGCAGACTAGGCAGAGAAGACACGGAGATACCATGATGAGCCAACAGGACAGAGGAAGTGCAAGAGACAGCACCACCTTATGTTGTTGGGGATGTGGGAGGGATGAGCAGTTCTGGGATTGATTTGTCCACAGGTACCATAGCACCTGTTAGATGACATTTGATTACTAGTGTCTACACACAGTAGTCAGGTGCTCCATCCAAGACCATTAATGCAGAGTTTAAATGACTGACTTAAGTAGAATAGACAAAGCTAACTGCAATGGATTTGGACTGTAGTGGTCAGGATGGTGTAAATCAGTCACATCCAGGAGGAAGCAGCCAGACAAAATCAGATGTGTTTCATCCTGGAAAGGCTAGCAGAAGTTGGCTGCTCTGGGGCACACATGGATCTCATGATCACTTACTTGAGTCTTTGGAGACTGGAGTTTACCTTCAGAGCATTTGCCAAGGCCTTGGCTCCAGCCACCCCAATGGCATTTCCTCTTAAGCTGTCAGAAAAAGTAGGAAGTCTAAGGTATAGGGATAGGCTGAGAGGTAATACTGGTGCCCCTCCAAATGGGTGTGGGGTTTTTTTACTTCAGCAATCACAAGAGTTAGGGGTGAGGCCTTCCTAACTCCTATACAACAGAACAGCTTGGCTTGGCGAAGCAAGACAGACAAATAGGGCGAGGCCAGTTCAGCTAAGTGCCTTGTTGGGACCCTGATCTTCCTTTTCCATTCCAGAGAAGGAAGAACTAGGCTGAAATGGGAGCAGCAACTTTCTGTCTAGAGGTATCCAGTTCACTGTAGGTCACAGGGATCCTGGAGAGCAGGAATGATGTGGGCATGCCTGAGAGCCTCCTAGAGCTTGAGCCCCCACCCCAGGATTGGCCTCCTGCATCAAGATCCATAACTACTGGTTTCCATGGTGTGGAGGGAGGGGGGACTAAATAGAGCCTTTGGGCATGTCTGTTTGGAGCAAGCCCAAAACAGAGCGCAGCACCATATTGACTTCAAGGCATGAAGTGGGAATAGAGAAGCTGGAGCATGTGACCAGAAACAAAGATCATGAAAAGTATCTGTGTCTATATAAATGGATGCTTTTCCTCATATCTAATCTTTTTGAATCAGTATATTTATTCCTTTAGGCAAAAGTCTGTCACCAAAAACTGGAATACTCACTCAAGAATCTCTAAGGTTCTGTTCACAGCCAGGGCCTCCCCTAGTGCCAGGGCTCCCTGGATACCAATGGAGGCCACCTGGAGGCTATAAGATAGACTGCAATCAATGTGAGCACGTGGACTCCTGCTGCCTTACCCCTCCCCTGGCCCTTCCTCCCATAATCTGTACTCCTTGATCAGGGCCAAAATAGCACTGAGAAATAGCACTGAGAATGATTGTCCTGTGATTTGCCGAAAGAATAGTGCATTCCCCCTCTCCCCATACTCTGGTGCCTAAGACCAAATCTAGGCATTGGATGGAAGTAGAGGTAGTCTCCTGGAAGGGCTGAATGATGTCTGAATTTTTCCCAGATGTTTGATTCCCTACTCAGTAATATTAGAAAGCAAAACACTTTCCAATACTTATAAACAAAGATGGTGTATGGCATGAGAGGATAGTTAAGGGGGTGGTCTTTCAGGCTCCCAGAGACCCAGAGGACTTACTAGAGAGCAGTGAGGGTTGTGTTCACCTTCAGTGCACTAGCCACTGCAGAAGCTCCTTCGTCTCCTATGGCATTCTCCTGTAAGCTGAACACAGACTGTGACCCCTTGGCACACAAGAGGCACAGGCCAGCACTCTGGCAATAACCTAAGAGGTTTGGGTCCTTCCTACACACCGGGCCCACTCCCTAGTCACCCTGTACAGCCATTGTTCCCTTGGTCTCATAAGTAATGCACAGAAGAGTCTGGGAGGGGGTGGGGGTCTGAGAGTCTGAAACCTTCAAAGGCAAACAAGAAAGGGGACATAGGAGATTACTATCAACAAGTCTTGAGACAACATGGTATGCTTTCAAACCAGTGGGAAAATGGACCTGAAGTCTTCCTCCCTGCACTGTTCTTGCCGATTAGGATTTTTGTGTGGAAATGGCAAGCTCTGGGGCAGTAAATGAGTTTAGGACAAATAGATATTGACTTTTTTTTGGTCTTTTTGAGACAGGGTCTCCCTATAGACCCATCTGGAACTCATTATGTAGACAAGGCTGGCCTTGTTCTCACAGAGATCCACCTGCCTCTGCTTCCCAAGTGCTGAGATTAAAGGTGTGCACCACCACACCTGGCTTGGACATTGATATATTTAAGGGAAACATTTGCATTCATTCTTCTAGCAAACCTCTGATTAGACCACATGTGCTGAGGATAAAAGCAAGTACCATTCTGCCCGTCAGAACTCAGGTGGGAAGGCACTAGTAAATGAGCGGCTCTAATAGGCCAGGTATCTTCAGGGAAGACAAAAAGAGTCTACCTCAGTGTGGTGCCCAGAAGAAATAGACAAAACCAAAATCAGGAAGTGAGAGACAGAGGGCCAGAAGGTACAACTAAGGAAACCAGGGAACCTGAGTTCCTGGAGTGGTAAGAACTGTGGCTTGAGAATGTGGGGGAGACAGACCCTCAGGGGCCTTGGAAGCCAGGCTGTGGGGGGGGCGGTGCACTTCACTCTGCAGGTGCAGCCATTTAAGGATCTCACTTGGGGTGAAAATAGATGAATGTTTGTCAAGACCTCTGCCAGCAGTTTGAGGGAATGGCCTAGATGTGGAAATCACCCAGTGAGGAAGGTGAGTGGTGATGTGGCCTGGATGGCGGCAGTTAAGGGAAGCAGGCAGGTAGGGAGGACAGTAGGCAGGAGAATAGGCAGGACTTGGAGATGAGCTGGAAGTAGCTGGAGGAACACAGGTGGTGCCTCTCAGTCCCTTGATTCCAAGAGCCAGATGGAAAATTAAGAAGCAGCTGTGAGCAAGAGAATGTAGCCACCTGCTGTACCTGTGGGACACTGAGGAGACAAGGCAGAGTGAGGCTGGGGTTCAGGAGACACATTTGGGGTAGTAATGTGGGAGTCATCAGGACTTGGGTCATTGGAATCTTAGGAGGAGAGCTCCCAGAAAAAGGGTGTCATTCAAGAGAAGGGGGCCTAGGGCAGAACCCTGAAGAGCTCCCTCAGTGTCTAGGAGTGGAACAGCAGGAAAGAATGAGGAGTATCAGACAGAAAAGGGATGTTCTGGAAGATGAGGGAAAAGAAACCATTAGGAGGGATACAGAGGAGTTTCAAAAGTCTCAGCTGGCCAGGTATGCTGGCACATAGCTTTAGTCCAAGCACTCTGGAGGCAGAAGCAGGTGAATCTCTGTGAGTTCAGGGACCAGCCTGGTCTACATAGCAAGTTCCAGGCCAACCAAGCCTAAAAAGAAAAAGAAAAAAAAGAAGAGATGGAGGGAGAGAAAAGAAAAAAGAAAGGGCTAGGGAGATGGCTTAGTGAGTAAAGTGCTTGCCTTGCCATGTAAGCATAACGATCTGAGTTCAAACCTCCAGAGCCCTCCATTGGAGGTGGACACAGGAGAAACCCTACAAGCTCATAGCCAGTTTATTTGACATATGCAGTGGGAGAAACAAAATTTAAAAACGAGACTATCCCAAACAAGGTGGAAAACAAGGACCAACACCTGAGGTCCTCTGACCTCGACATGCATATCCTGACCCCATGCTTATACAGAGGCATGCGTGTGCTCACACACACGCACACTACAATGAAGGTAAGGACTGAAACGCCTGCTGGCCTTATAGCTGAGGAGGCTGTGTGCCAAGAATCATCAACCCAGCCCTGTACCTGGAGACTGTCCCCCATACCCAGAGACCACACTTACTCTAAGGTGGTTAGGGTCCTGTTCAGCTGGAGTGCTTGTCCCAGGGCCCTGGCTGCACCAGCCTGGATGAAGTTCCACTGTAGGCTGAACAGACACAGACACATGACTATGTGGTCCAGGATCAGAGTTAAAGAGGCTCTGAGGAGTCCAGGAGAGTCTGGTGGCAGGGTGAGTCCTTGCAGGATGTGGCAGAGGAATTATTGAAACTCCTCTTGGGCTCTATCCTCAAAGGGCAGTGTCTACTCTCACTGGTGGTAGCTATAGGGACAAGCTCAAATACTCTCCATAAAGCATAGGTCACCCCGAGTCACAGCCATGGCACTCACCTAATCTGGGTCTGTGTGAGGATAAACTCAGGAATCAGAACCTAGCATGGGGCACATCTGCCTGTGTGCCTGGACAAGTTATCTGGAAAGGCCCCAAGGACCTTGGAGTGGCATATCCCAAAGCCAGGTTTCATCTGTCTTAATTGGTTTGGGAGTAGCTCTGCAGCTTGGCAGATTGGGGACCAAGAGGGGTAGGAACAGTGGACTCACTGAAGGTATGTGAGGGCGCAGTTTTTTCCTACTGCCACTGCAATTGCCTGGGCACCTTGGTCATGGAGGAGGTTGGCTGTCAGGCTGGGAGGAAGGGAGCAGGAGCATGTGAGTCGGAGCCACTGTGGACCCCATCCCAATCATCCCCCATCCTCCCAAGGGCCACACTATGCTGATGTAGGTGACTCATGCCTGTGGAGAACTTTGGTGTGCCAAGCATGTGCCAAATCCTGACAACCCCAGAGGGTGTCCCATGTTTAGCTCAGTGAGTGTAATGACAGGTCACACAACCAGGACACAGCACTACACAGGGGACTTGCTGCCTGATGGCATAGTCCCACATAAGCTCTTCAAGATCCTCTCCCATGTTCTCATCCATCCCAATGGGTAAGACTGGAGAGTTCTTGTATCAGGGTTGCCACCAGATACCACATCTCCTGGCTGCCCCTTCCCCAATCAAGTCAGTGTCATTGTGAGGGTGATATGAGGGTGCCAAGGGTCTAACCTACCATGGTGATGCCCACCAACCCTGGTCTCTCTGAGTGGGTAAGGAAGCACAACCTGCCCTTGACCTCCAAGCCTCCAGACCCTCCACGTACTCCAAGTGCTTCAGAGTATTGTTCTTGTAGAGAGCATGAGCAAGGGCCTGGGCTCCCTCTGGGCTGATGGAGTTTTCTCGTAGGCTGAGGAAAGAGAAGACCCTGAACTTTCAGTCAGGCAGCTGGAGGTGTCTGACCATACAAGCCCAGGTGTTTAGACTTTCCAAGTCAGGAAACCACAGATAGGCTCTCAAGTGTTCCAGCCAGCCAGGGCTCCAGTCAGTGTCCCTAATCAAGACTAGCAACCGTTTAGGAATGTACAGGAGGTGTTGAAGGGCAAGAGGCACCCTGAAGAACTTGTATATAGGAAGGGAACAGCAGAGCAGTCCACTGACCTGAGGGTAGGAAGAGGGACAATGTACCACACCCTAGAACCCAAACTACACCAATTACAAGATTTCACCATTGTAGTCTGCCAGTCCCAGCCTTTCCTTCCAAGTCCCAGAGGCCCTGTATTCCTGGTCAAAAGGACATCCTGGTTGGGAAGGGATGTAGCAGGACTTACTTGAGGCTGAGGAGTGTCTGGTTGGTGCAGAGGGCTCCCATCAGCGCTGCCACTCCCATGTCACTGATGGAATTGCTCTGCAGGCTGCAGGCAGAGGATAGGAAATTCCTGGTATGGCTGTCCTAGGACTTGGAGGGAGCTGTATGGTCTAGCTTGGGACCATACCCACTGGGTTCAACTGGGAGTGAGCAGCCTGGGGACTGCTCTCCTCATGCCTCTTTCCACATTACTCCACTTTCTAGCTCCTGTCAGGCTAAGGCAGTTAGGTTTAGCATAAGCCCCAAGGTTTAGACTCTGCCTTGGCGTGGGTGGCTGTCCTCAGAGAAGCACATATTAACTTTGAAGTCCAGACAAAGTGGGACAGCAGAACCTTCTTAGTGTGGCAGCAGCACTCAACTGTCCCCTGCCCCAGACACCAATGTACCTGTGCTTACTTATCAAGGGCATTCAGCCTGTCATTCTAAAAACTCCAGAGCCCAACCCCAGTCCCTACTGTCCAGAGAAATGAAGGTCATGGGTGAGGTGGAACAAAAGGTGGGTGGAGGGGCAAAAATACAGTACACTGCCAGGGCTAGGGTTGGTAGGATTATGGCAGGGAGATGGGTTCTGGCAAGGGTAATTGCATCCATGGAGGATGCTCAGACTCACTCCAGGCTCTCCATGCCCTGGTTCACCTTCATGGCCTCAGCCAGGGCCTTAGCACCGCCATCACCAATGGTATTACTGGAGAACCTGCAAGAGACAAGAGCTGGTGAACTGGGTCTAGGGGTTAGAGCTCAGGGGAGACCACCTCTTTCTCAAAGGTATCCAGTGCAGCTTGTTGAGCCTCAGGTGTGTTGGTCTGTAGTCTCTGTAGGTGACCCCTATCCTCTTTGGCTCTTTGGCAAAGTCTAAGGGTCAGCTCTCACTGAGAAGTATTTGTGGAACTTTATGTGAAGATGGGCAAGAAATGCTGTTTCCCTCTGACAGTAGGGAAGACTATTAAGTGAGCCTGTGAAGATTGAGGCTTACCCAGTTCTGGGAATCTGGGTCTCCAGTCTCCTTTGTCCACTGGTCTGCAGTCCCAAGTCCGCAAGCTCTCTTGGCATCCACCCATCCATCCACCTGTTTCCCCATAGGCCTCTCTTTCCATCCATTGATTCATCAATCAATCCATTCATCCATCCACCTACTACCCATCCATATACCCCCACGCATCTGACAATTCATTCATTTGCTCATTCATCCATCTGCTCATCCATCTATCCATCCCTCTGCTCACAAATATGCAGGCTGGCCTTGCACTTGGCATTGAAAATACCGATTTGGCCCTTTGGCTTTTCTCACATGAGCTCCTTCAGGCTCCTGTTCTGCTTTAGGGCGTCTGCCATCCACTGGGCTCCCATGGGCCCAATTAGGTTCTTCTGCAGGCTGTGAGAGATGAGAAGGATTCATCAGCAAAGCCAGCCATAGTCATCCCCAGACCAAGGACAACGTGAGTTCAGGGTGAGAGGTCAGAGACAAATAGGATGCCGTTTCCATTTACATCATGGGCAGTGGAAAGGGGTCTTACAAAAAAAATCTACTTTGGAGAGTAAGGGGAAGCAGCTGGGGACAGATGCTGATAGTGTCCAATAATCTCCTGTGTAGGAGACTTCCACACAGGTGTCTTCCAGCCAGCATGGTCTACCTTCCATCTAGATCAGCTTGCAATCTGCCACCTACCTTGAGAAACCTCCCTGGAGAGAAGTACAGAAGGAAGGACAGATAGGGAAGGACCTCTCCTGTGTGCGGCTAAACATCATCCTTAAAAAGGAAAGCGACGGGGCTTGGGAGATGGCAGGTAAAGACCCTTGCCACCAAGTCTGATGACCTGAGTTCGATCCCTGAGACCCACATGGTAGGAGGAGAGAACTCACTCTTGCAAGTTGTCTTCTGATCTCCACACATGTGCCATGGCATATACATGCCCTACACACACACACACACACACACACACACACACACACACACACAAATAAATAGATAAATAAATAAAACAAATATAATGTGCCTATACAGAACATGTCCGCACATCTTTTTTTTTTTTTTTTAAAGATACCTCCCTTTTTATAGAACATTTTCTTAAGGAAACTTTAGGTTGCAAATCCTTTCTCTGTCCCTTTGAGATGTGTTGTGTCTTTATAAGCTTAGCCTCCTCTGGCGTCACAGCCCAGGAGTATGTTTCTAAAGGTCTTTTTAAGGTCTTAGGACCTTTTCTTCAAAGGTAAATGTAAAACAAGGTAGTGTCCCTGCCACCGTGAGAACTAGACTGGGCACCTGGCTCCAAGTATAGTACCTGATTGACATAAAGATAGGAACAACTTTGCTTTTTTGGGAAAAAATCAGTTAAGGAACACAGACGGCCTCTCCAATTACCCTGGAAGCTTAGGATAAGCTGGTGACAAATGGTGCTAGCAGCTCCTCATTCTTTTTTTTTTTAATTTTTACAAAAACTTTATTGAGAATTTCATACATGCATATAAGGTGTTTTGATCAAATCCATGCCCACTCCCTCCCCTCCAACATTCCCCCCTCTGAAGAGGTAACCCTAAAATCTTTTAAGGATTAGATACAAGCTCCCAAATACTTTTGACATTTTTGGCCTTTGGAACAGAGTATGTTGCTAACAGGCCCAAGGACATTTTGACTTTTAGCCAAAAAACTGCCTACATTTCTTTGAGGTCTTTTTACCCTAACTGCCTAGCCAATTCCTACCTCCTGTTCTTATCACATCATCCTCTGAAGGGGTTACCCAAATTGCCAATAGGGGATAGGGATGCAGACCACTCTGGCTTCTTTCATGAGCAGCTCCTCATTCTTGAGAACAAGTTGTCCTTGGGAACCTTAGGAAAATGCATGGAATGGGGTGCATCTGCTGGGCCAAAGGAAAAGGTGAAGTTCTGTCTTTGCAACCTCATTGGTGGGTTGCCCATGATGTGCATTACAGTCAGGTTATTGCTTATTTAATAGAAGACTATAATGTTCTTTTCTTAAATCTGTGGAGAGGATTTTCTGGGTTGGTGGAAGGTTTTAGTTCCAATAATTTCCTCATACCTATTCTCTGGAAAAGCAGAGGGTATCATGTTTTCCAGGGGGTTGTTTAGGTGGGTCACAAAGCCTCAGGATCACCCCTGAATTCATTCTTGCAGGAAACAGGCAGAGGCTTGGTAGGAGAGAGGGGATGGGAGGGGATGATGTCCACTCACTGCAGCATGGAGAGAGTCTGGTTGGAGGCCAGTGCCTCAGCCATGCACTTAGCACCATCATCTTTGATTATGTTGCTCTGGAGGCTGTAGAGACAAAAAGAAGTGTGCCACTAATGGAACACAAGAGAATGCCTAAAGTGGCCTGAACTCTCACTGCATACCAAAGGCCCAAGAGGGGCAGCAGCTGACCTAGATAAAAAGAACTTCCAACAATTATATGCCCTTCTCACAGCCTACTATACAGAAAGGATAGTTAGTCCTTCCTGAACTGAATCTCTTAGTACCTACCTGCCAACTGGGAACAAGGTGCCCATGCTCCTTGCATGGTTCAAAATGAGGTCATCTGGGGAAGTGGGTAAGACCCCCCAACCCTAGGCAATGAGGTATTGGCAACCGATGGCTGCTGGGAGGAGGAAAGTCAGGCTTCTTTAAGGATGAAACTCTTGGTAGGTTGACCAGGCTCCAGTGGATGAACCCACACTGGAGGACATTTGGGGACACAAGTTTGACTCTACAGGCATATATATATATGAAGATACAATAAATATATTTAATATGCATACATGAAATTGGGTGGGTAGTAAGAGGGCACAGATAAAGAGGGGTTCTAAATTCAATCAAAATATATTGTATGAAATTCGCAAAAATTCAACTTAAAGAAATGCGGTCATCAATAGTCCTCATTACAGCCAAGAGTCACAGTGCCCAAATATTGGTGAGGATGTAGAAAAACTGGAAGCTTCACAGTACTGATGGGAAGGCAAATGGTCTAGTCTCTGTGGAGCACAATCTGGCAGTTCCTCAACAGATTCAGCTTAGAGATAGCATGTGACCTAGCAATTCCATTCCTACATGTATTCCCCCAAGAACTAAGAACAGGCACTTATATACTTCTACACAAATGTTGGTAGCAGCATTATTCATGATAGTCAAAAGGTGGAAACACCAAACATCCATCAGTGGATGAACAGATAAGAAAACTGTGCTCCACCCACACAATGGAATATTATTCAGCTATAAAATGCAAAGAAGCACTGATACATGCGCCAATGTAGGTAAACCTTGAAAATATGCAACTTGAGGAATATAGACACAGAGTTCTTGCTGTATAATTCCATATATCCATAGAGGAGGTTGTCAGGTGCTAGGAGAAGAGTAAAAGTGGCTACTGGGTTAGAGAGACGACTCAGTGGTTAAGAGCACTGGCTGCTCTTGCAGAGGACCCGGGTTCAATTCCCAGCACCCACATGATGGCTAACAACAATCTTAACTCCAGTTCCAGGGGATCAGACACCCTCTTCCAACCTCTGCAGGCATTGCACCTACGTGTGTGCAAGCAAAACACTCATGCACATAAAATAAAAACAATAAATAAAATATTAAGAAAAAGAAAAATGGCTACTAAGCTGGACCTGGTGGCACATACCTTTAATCTCAGCACTCAAGAGGCAGAGGCAGATGGATTTCTGTGAGATTGAGGCCAACCTGGTCTACATAGAGAGTTCCAGGCCAGCTGGGGCTACCTGTCAAACATAAATGAGGAAAAGCAAGCAAGAAAGAAAAGTGACTGCTAATGGTTGAAAACATTTTGAAACTAGACAGAGGTGGTGGTTGCACAGCATTATGAATGCATAAAATGCCAATGAACTGTGTGCTTTAAAATGATTTCACACAACAGGGCTGGAGAGATGGCTCAGCAGTTAAGAGCACTAACTGCTCTTGCAAAGGACCCGTGTTCAATTCCCAGCACCCACATGGTGGCTACGAACCGTCCTTAACTCCAGTTTCAGGGGAATCCGAAGCCCTCTTCAGACCTCTGTGGTATTGCACGACACGGGTGCACTCACATACATGCAGGCAATACACTCACACACATAAAGTAAAAATAATAAAATATTTTTAAAAATTATTTCACCTGAAAAATAAATAAATGGACAAACAAAAGAGAACAGGACACCTCTACTAGATGGGTACAACCACAGGCTCCTAAAAGGGGCACAACAAACTATCTTCAAATACTGGCATCTTCTGGAAGGCAGGATTTCAGTGTCCTGAAAAGCCTCAGGGATGTATGGAGGCAAAGAATTGGGAGAAGCTGAAACCTGAAACTTTCTGGCATCCCATACCTACCATTTTGAATCACTTCCCATTCCTCAGGTGTCTCCTGAGGCCCAGAATCAGGATCACGTACCTTAGAGAAGTTAGGGTGCGGTTTATCTTCAGAGCATCTGCCAGAGCCTTGGCCCCCTGTGGTCCAATGGTGTTACTTCGGAGACTGGTAGAAGCAAGGGGAAAAAAAAGATTTCTAGGGAGGAAGGAGGGCTCAAAATTACACAGACATTTTAAATCTTTGATCCTTAGAGGAAATACATTAGGATTAAAGATTTCATGTTTGGTGGAACCATAGTAGAGGTCAAAGATATAGATATATAGATGAACAAGAAGTTTCCCAAAATAGCTCCATCTGATGGGGAACAGGGAGCAGGACCTAATGGTCTAGTGAGCAAAATGTGGAGATGATGAGAATGATGATGCCAGGTCAGGGCCAAATATCAAGATCTTCATGGAATGAATCTCAATAGGTAGAAGTGGTGACAACTTGACTAGCTGTCCCCATCCTCTCAGAAGGGCATGTGGCCTGCAGGAGCCCTGCTTTAAATGGAATAGAGTACCATGCCCAGAGCCTATCATGGACTGAATGTGGGGAGCTGAGGAAAGGAAGATAAAACTCAAGTCATTTCATAGATGAGGAGACAGTTCAAATCTCTCTTCATTCCAGTGGCTTGTGGTGTCCTACTTACTCCAGCATGATCAGACTTCTGTTGACCAGAAGGGATCTGGCCAGAGCTTTGGCCCCTTTGTTACTGATATGGTTCTCAGCCAGGCTGCCAAGGAAAGAGAAAGTGCTTATTTCAAGTATATGGGTCTCATTGCCTCCTCTTCAACATTAGCCCCATGATTAAACCTGGCTTCCCCAGCATCATTGGTGTGGACATAAGTGGAGACTGAGCCTGAGAATGTAGGGTCGGAGTGGACCAACAGACCTCTACCCTGGCAAAGGGTCCCAAGGAAAAATTGCCCAGAATCCAGAATAATCACTTCTTCACAAATGCACAGCAAAGAGTTTGGGCAGCTATAGAAGTATTCCATATGGGGCAGGCGAGATGGCTCAGAGAGTAAAAACACTTGCCACCAAGTTTGATCCCTAGAAACCACGTAATAGGAGAGAACCAATTCACAAGTTGACCTCTGATCTCCACACATTCATTGTTAACACACACACACGAGAGAGAGAGAGAGAGAGAGAGAGAGAGAGAGTCAATATATTCAATAATCTTTAAGGATTGGATTTGCTGGTGTTAAAACAAAAAGTCTTCTACATGGGCCCCCATCTAAGTTCATAATGTGTCTCTCAATGTGTAGCATTTGCCAATTTCTATAGTGCAAATGTCCCAAAGCGTGACCAAGTTCAAGCACCTTCTGCTTGCAAAATTCCTGAAAACCCCAGTCAGCTTTCATAAACTAGCACAAACTATTTTGAGCTTACCATTGATCTAGCCTTTCTCTACCACAAAACAACAAATGGTAGAACCACCACAAAACTAACTTTAAAAATGTTCATCTATATGTGCCTGGAAAGTGGCGGGGAGGTTCCAGAAGCATGCTAGTGGACCCATTCAGTCTTGATTCCTGTATCCACTTTCAGAAATGGAGCAGTTGAAGTTTCTTTAGTTTTGTAGGCATCAGCCCCTAGGACAGAGCTATTCATTAGAAGGCTGGACTTTTTCAAGAATATTCTGAGGGCCAATAGGAAGATGAAGGGAAACCAAGTGGGCCAGGCTCTCTCAGCCCCAATAATTTCCCTTTGTCTAATTTATGTATTGAGGCTCTGATTGATGTATCACTTTTCAAATAAATTCTGTTGCTTAAAATAAATTTGAACACTAGTCAGGTGTAGTGTACTCCTGTTACTCCAGTACTCGGAAGGCTTGAGAATCCCAATTCAAGGCCAACGTGGGTTACAGGATACCTATTCTTGTATCAAAATGTTGGAAGACCAGCTAATCTTTATTATCCCAGGGTTTGTATTAATAATGGCTTATAAATAATATCTCACAAGCAACCTTACGTGTTTTCTGTGGTATAACTTGGACATTACAGACAGGAAGATGACACCGAGGACCAACCTTAGACAGAAAAAGATCCCGTAGCTATAGAAGAAATGTTTGGCTTCAGAATCATTTTTGAGCCTCATTTTAAAAATTTTGATTATTTTGTCATTTGCTAAAAATACAAGAGCCTCCTGTGAAGGACAAAATACTGACATGAGAAGTTATCAAGATTTTTCTTTCAAAGGGGTTGCATTTTCAACTGTTGCCAGCAAGGCAAAGCCAGTTCTGCTAAAACAGCCAGCTCCTATGCCTGTGCTTGGCATTGAATTAACACATTTCAGCCTCACAACAAAAAGGTTTGAATCTTGAAATCTTGCTTACCCAGGGAGCCTGTGGGAACCCATATTTATTCACTTTGGACAGAACTGTGTAGTTTATCTCACAGTGTCATTTATGCTGGAGATTTTGGGCCATGCAGAATCACCTGGCCTTCTGAAGGAGCTATAGACTAAGGTCTTTGTGACCAACCCTCCAGTAAAAACACACTGGTCACCAGGGCTGGAGTGAACTCCTACAAGTTGTCCTCTGGCCTTCCTTCCTGTGCTTTGTCACACAGCATTACTGGGGGGGAAAAATGGCATCTGTACCACTCCCTGGGAAAAAAACTAGAAACTGCCTTGTCTCTCCTGGCTCTGTCCCAGGCGCTTTTCTTAAAAAAAAATTAAGGCTTTTATCGTGTGTGTGTGTGTGTGTGTGTGTGTATGTGTGTGTGTGTGTGTGTGATGGTGAGCATGTAGAGGCCAGTGGACAACTTGTAGATGGTTCTCTCTACCTACTATGTGGGTTCCGGGGATTGAACTCCGGTCATCAGGCCTGGTGGCAAGTGTCTTTACCTGCTGAGCCATCATAGCAACTCCCACATTTTGCTTTTTTTTTTTTTTAATTTTAATCTGTGCCCTCAGCACAAGTGGCAAAATGTATTTGTAAATTTTACAGAGTTTCTCCTTCTGAGTTCTAAGTCCTTCTAGAGAATTGTTGAACCTCAAGTGACCCCCAAACTCATAGGTAGATACCCATATAACTTCATTTTTTCCCTCTTTAGGCACAGAGGCAACTTATTCAAGGCACATAGAACCTACAATTCTAACCATCATTATCAGTGACTTTCTTTTGTTCCTGAGTCTAAATAATTAACTCAGATTGTTTCAGAACTTAGAGACTTGGATGAAAATCACTCCCTGATCCTATTCTCCAAAATTACCTCCTAGTTTCCCCAAATCACGACACTATTTCAACTCCAAACCCAAGCGTTAGATGTAAAGGTGGTATTCCAGGAGAACTTTCACAAGCATGTAAGTCAGCATATAGATTTCTCTCTAATCACAACATTACATTAAAAATGTAACTATTTTATTTTATTCAAGATAGGATCTTGCTATTGTAGCCCAAGCTAACTTCAAATTCTTGGCAATCCTGCTGTCTCAGCCCCCAGAGTGCTGGGGCTTCAGATATGTGCCATAGTTGGATGTAAACCCAATTAAAGATGCAATTTTAAATTTTCTGAAAATAGCATTGGGGTTGGAGCTCAGAGCATAGAGAAGTTGCCTAGAATGCACAACACCTTGGGTTTGATTCCCAGCGTGGCATAAACCAAGCAAAATGGCATACAACTGTGATCCCTCCACACAGGAGGTGGGGAAAGGAGGGTCAAAGTTTACAATCACGTCATCTACACGGTGAGTTTGACACGAGCCTGGGCTTTGTGTGACCCTGTCTCCAGAAACACAAGTTTTAAAAGAAATTTCATTCTTAAATTTATTTAAATTAAAATTTAAACTTCTAGTTAAAGTAAAACCCGATGCTCAGAATACTATTAGAGAATAAACACATAGAGAAAGTTACACCTGAACCAGGGCAGCACACAGAGCGCTTAGAGACACACTTCCGTGTCTAGGACAGAGTCGGAGCTTCACCAGGTCATTTCCCTCTCCTTTTAGAGCAGGTGCCAGAGCCTTTGGCACTTTCTAAAATGGGCAGAACAAGCAAGACTGCATTCTGAGCCATACACTGGAAAGATGCCTGTTCTTGAGGGCACCACTGGTCAGCTGAGCAGAGAGCCCAACCTCGGTGGGGTCTCTGGGGTCAGTGTTACCTGATCTTTCGAATGCGACAGTCCTTCCCACTCAGCACACTGCCCAGCAACTCCATTACAGGGTCCTGGAACTGGTTGTTGTCTAGCCTGACAAGAGGAACCATGACAGTGAGTGGTCCTGCAGCCCATGAGCAAGGGTTGGGGGGGGTCCCTCTGCCTCCTCATGTTCCTACTGTGGTCCCATTGTTTCATCTCAGAAATCTATACTGTCAGTGCTCAGACCTTCCCTGTGGGGAAGGAACCTGTGAGGCCTGGTTCCTATGAGCTGTGAGGTTCCTCCTAGGTGGCATCTTATGGAGAGGGGTCACAACAGGTCTGACCACCATGGGCCTTATGGAACACTGTGGCTAGCTTTCTTTCTGAAGGTACCTAAGCCACTTGGGTCCTGATTGACCTTGTTCTATACCTTTTCCCCTTTGCTTGCTAGGGATCAGAACAGTGGATAGAGTATGGCTGAGGGTATAGCTTCTGTCAACACTGAGTGGCTCAGAGGGTCTTTGTTTTATTTATTTATTTTTATACAGGATCTCAACATGTAGTTCAGACTGTCCTAGAACTCAGCAATCCTCCTGCCTTAACCTCTTGACTGCTGGTATTATAGGTATGAGCCACAATGTCTGGTTCTCAGAGGGTCTTACAATTTTGATTGAGTCTCCATATTGAAATTCTAATCTCACTGTTTCAAGAATGTAGCCTTATCTGGAAATAGGGTCATTACAGATGTGATAATTAAGAGGGTATCTCACTGGTATAGGGTATGATCATATCCTTATAGGTGAGGTGAGTGCCATATGAGACAGAGATACAGGAGATGGCCATGTGACAGTGGAGGACAAAATTGGAGGGAGATAAAGCTAAGGAACACCAAAAATTGCTGGCCGACACCAGGAGCTCCAAAGGAGCTCCCAAAGTTTTGGAGGGCTGCTGATGTCTTGACTCAGACTTCTGGCTTTCAGAACTAAATGAGCTGCTGTGATGGTTCAGCACTCAGCTGTGAAACTTCGCCATGGCAGTCCCAGCAGGGACCAGGAGAGGGGCATGATGGAGCAAGGAACTGCTCCAAGTCTCTCCTCTACCTGTACCCTTTGCATGGTCCCCTTGCTCACCTAAGGCTTTGACAATAGAGCAGCTGGGGCAGCAGACTCCAGAGGACACTCTGGCTGAGGCACAGGGACAAATTGGCCTCCCGGGAACAGATGTCAGACAACTGCAGGAGGTAGGCCAGGGCAGCACGGTGGGAGGGGCTGGTTAGCCCAGCTAGGGCCCTGCTTTGCATGGCTTCTTCCACACTGCAAGCCAGGTCTGTGTGCTGCAGCTCATGAAGGCAGTGCAAGACATTGATGGCGCGTGCAGAGACTGCAGTGTCAGGGTGTAGGAAGCCCTGCAGGACCTCAGCTGCCTGGGCCCGGTAGCCCTGGTGCTCGCCTTGGACCAGCAGGGAACCAGTCAGAAGAGTATTGACCCTTGGAGACAAGAGGCCAGAAAGGAAGCGTAGGAACACATCCAGCCTTCCATCCTCAGCCTGTGTGGCCCGCTGGGCTGCACACCTAAAATGTGTGAGGAAGCCCAGCCTGGGCCAGGACATGCCACTCTCAGTGAAGAGGTCAAAGATGGCCCTCTTAGATGCGCTATAGTAATATGTAGCTGCCACAAATTCTTGCAGAGACAGGTGGGTGAAGCAATAGGCCACTGAGGAGGCCAATGTCTCTTCCCGCTGCAGGAGGCAGCTACACAAAGTGCATTGTAACAGAGCGAGGTCAACACCAAAAGCCTTCATATCTTGCTCATAAAACACATACTTCTTCTTGATCAGCCCATGGAAGGCCAGGCGGCCCAGTGTCCCCACCATCTTGCGGGCTCCATGGGCCCCCTGCTCAATCCTAGGACTCGGCAATCCCTTCTCTTGTCCCTCCCCACTGAGGGCCATCCTAAAGTACCAAGAGTAGAGCTCACACAGGGTTCGTGGAGGCCATAGCTCTTTGTCCTGGGCTGCCAGCCTGATGTGGCACAAGTGACCCAGGACCAACCCTGTGAGCCTACAGAAGGCTGGTATGGTACACATCAGATACAGAGGCCTGTCAGCCTGCACCTGACTCAGTACCTGACCTAAGAGGTTCTGATCCTCAGGAAATATCTGCTCCAGACACACTTTGATCTCTTCTTCAGTAAAACCCCGGATCTCAGTCATTCGGTCCACTAGACCCCCAGGGATCTGACCAGCTGCACTGGGACGGGAAGTAATCCAGACAGAAACTTCTGGAAAGAGGTTGCCTTGGATAATATTAGTGATCAGATGGTCCACTTGGATCTCCTTCTTGGGGTCCGTGCAGGCCATGGTGTTGGAGAATTCCAGAGGTGTCTTACATTCATCTAAGCCATCCAGGACCAGGAGGACTCTTGCTGGGGCTGCCACCATCAGACCAGCCTCCCCAGTGTTTGTGAAGATGGAATGGACAAGTTTGTCTGCAGATAGTTTCTCATAGGTATTAAGGTCCCGGAAGGTCAAAGGCAGCACCAGTGAGAACTCTTTGCCCACTTGTCCTTGGGCCCAGAGACGAACAAAATGCCTCACCAGAGTGGTCTTGCCCATGCCAGCCACTCCAATGGTGATGGAGATACGGGGTGGGATGGACACCCGGGACAGAGGTAGGAAGAGCCTATCCAGGGTGATGGCCCTGGCAGGGCGCCAGACCCCACGTGTGGCCTCTACCTGTGTGAAGTCATGCTCCCTCAGCTGCAGGTCTGTCAGGCCCTCCACCAGCAGGAGGCTGTCCAGCCGGTGTGAGGGGCTACCCAACTCTGGGCCATTTCCCATTCTGCTCAGCAGGGCCTCACAGTGCCTCTGTATCCTTGAGTCTGCAGGACACAGGACAGAGCAGGTAAAGTCCATGGGCAAGGGGAGAGGGCTCAGGTACCCACCTCTGTCATCCACCCATGTAAGTCTTACCATTGCTGTGAGATTCCAGTGGGAAGTCCAGCATCTTATTAGGGGCCTGCAGCATCTGACCACCATTCCCAGCCAACAGATCCGCAAGGCCTTTCACCTGCTCGGCTGGGGAGACAGCACTGTGGGCCAAACTGGTCTCCCTACCCGTCTGCACCTCTTGCCTCCTCATGGAGTCTGGAATTGCAGCTGGGAGCTGTGAAGACAGGGCCAAAACCTGTGGCCTGCTGGACCTCTGGTAGTTCCTGGCCAGTGAAAACAATTGTCCAGAGGCAGGGGCCAAGTGAATAAGCCTTGGGGTCCTGGACTTGGACTCTGGCTCTGCCACTTACTAGCTGGGTGACCCGGAGCAGGCTGCACCACCTCTTTGCACCTTGGTTTCCTCATTTGTGACCTGGAAATAGTGATGTGGTTATGAGCAAGTTCTCCAAAAGAAGGGAGGAATGAAAATAGCCAGTTAGGGAAGGATCACAGTGCATGATTCCACCTACCTACCATCCTGGGAAAGGTGAAGGATGGAGCTGTAGAGACAGTGATAGATAAGGGTGTTGGGTGCCAGCATTAGGGAGAGGCACAGAGGATACAGACACAGGGCCACAGCTGTGTGGTACTGTAATGGTGGGTGTGTCACTACGAGTGCACTAGTGAGACCCCTAGCAGAACCCAGACTCTGAGTGATCCTGTATGTCAGCACAGGGGCTTGTAGCAACTGGAGCTCTGCTGGGGGGTGTGGATGGTAGAATCTGTTGGGCCAGGCAGAGGTATATGGAAACACTACACTTTACCATTAGTTTTTCTGTAAGCTTAGAACTGTTCTAAAAATGGTGCTTTAATTTAAAAAAAAGAAAGAAAGAGGTGGAGAGGGAAGGGAAGGCAGATGGCTCTCAGAACAGCACCACAGCTGCTTCTTTTAGCTTTCCTGGGCCTTCCTGGATGCTCAGGGACTCCTGTCCTGCAGACAGCACTGTTTGCTGCTGGGCAGTGATGCAGATACCAAGAGGTAAAACCATGCATGTCCCACCTACTCACATTCCTTTGCTTTCTTGGTACCAAAGCTGGCTGCCTATTGTGAAGCTCTCCCATAGCCAACCCCACTTCTGTCCCTCATTACCAGGCACGGGGGCTACAGCAGCACCTTCTGTAGGGTCCCAGGGACTTGAACGTGGGGATCAGTCACCTGTCTTCTATGGTTCTAGAAAAAAAAACATGATTGTGGTCAGGGGAAGTCAGGAGAGATCACTGCTGTCCCTTTGTTTAAAATGATCCAAGATTGTTACTGCTGAGTATCTAGTCAGTCCTGGCTCTACTAGGCTTGGAAAGCTCCCAGTTCTCTGGTTCTCAGTGTTTTAAATGAAGAGGAGTTTGCTGTCAACAGAATTCCTGGCTTTGAATTTGCATTGGGTATCCCTGCCTTTTTAACTCTGCATGAACATTTTCATATAGAAAATGCTGAAAGAAGCTTAGCGTGACTGCTAAGAAGCCATTCTACTTATAGCTGTGTTGGAGAGCTAAGTGTTATTCTCACCTTGGGATGACCTCTTATTGTCAGTCAGCTAATGCTGTGTGAGAGTTCCTGAAGGCATACTGTGTCCCCTGTTCTGTTGAGCTCTACACCTGCATCACTTAATTTACTTCTCATGATAACCCTCTTTACTATTGCCTCTCCCACTCCATAGACCAAGACACTGAGGTTAAGTGATTGCCTAAGGACACATGGCTAGAAAGTGGCTGAGCTGGGATGGAAACCAAGACCTCTCTGGTCCCAGTGCCTGTGCTGTGTAATTTGCTTCCTCTACAACAGGTTTACACATGGTTTAAAAATAAGGAAGCTGGGTGTGGTAGTGGAAGCCTATAATCCTGGAACTTTGGAGGCATAGACAGGAGGATTACAAATTTGAGGCTAGCGTGGGCTATGTAGTGAGACCCTGCCTCAAAAAAGTGGAAATGTCTGTTAAACTAGCATACTGATACTAAATCATACTGATACAATTATATGAATTATTTTTATTCATTCATTCAACCAGTAAAAATTGTGTGTATGTGTGTGTGTGTGTGGTATAGATGTGTGGTATTTGTGTATATGGTGTATGCTCACGGGTGTGCATGGCCAGAGGAGGCTGTCAGGTGTCCTGCTGTGTTGCTGTCTGTTTTGTTCCATTGAGACAAGGTCTGGTCTCTCACTGAACCTGAAGCCTGGTGTGCTGGATAGCTTTAGTGTCAACTTGACACACCTGGGTTGAGGGAGCCTCAATCGGGAAATTGCCTCTATTGGACTGGCCTGTGGCCATGTCTGAAGGGCATCTTCTTGATGAGTGATGTGGGAGAGCCCAGCCCACTGTGGGTGGTGCCACTCCTGGGCAGGTGGGCCTGTGTTGCATAAGAAAGCAGGCTGAGCAGGGGCCAGGGGAGCAAGCCTGTAAGCAGCATATGTGTGCGACCTGGGAGATGTAAGACAAATAAACCCTTTACTCCCCAAGTTGGTACTGGTCAGAGTGTTTTGTCACAGCAATGAAGAACAAACTAGGACACCTGGCTAGCTACAAACAAGCCTGGCCATTCTCCTGACTCCATTCACCACAGCACTGGGGTTATGTGCAGGCAGCCACACGGGCTTTTTACATGGGTGTTGGGAATTTGAAATCATGTTCTCATGTTTGGTCAGCAAGTGTTCTTACCCACTGAGCCATTTCCCCAGGTCCCACTTGTGGGAATTTATCCTAAAGAAATAATTAGGCAAGTACTCAAGATGCAGATGTAAGAATGGTCACAGAGGTGTTGTTCACAAGCAGGAAGTTGAATGGTCAAAAACTAAGTTTCTATTCAACAATGGATTGGTGCTCCAGTTCTACACTGCAGTACTATGAGGTCATAAAATAAGGCCAACAGTGTGTCAAATTAGAATAACGCCCACAGTGTACATTTTGTCTTTTATTTACTTTTTTGGGGGGGGGCTTTTTGAGACAAGGTCTCCCTGTAGCGGAAGCTAATGGAGACCAGGCTGGCCTTGAACTTACAGAGATCCACCTGCCTCTGCCTCCTGAGTACTGGGATTAAAGGCGTGTGCCACCATGCCCAGCT